AAGAGTGTGAGTGAACAAAGACACTGAATTCACTGAAGTAAAGGCTTTTCCTTGTGATAGAGGTAAAAGAAAGTGCTCCTATTCTATAGAGCACTGGGCAGCAAGAGTACCTTCATTTCCTGCCTTGCTTTTGCAGGGCAAACATTGTGGAACATTTCAGGAATACCCCATACCTATACCCCAGAAAGCAAATGCCTTAAGATTACAGTGAAGCTTACATGATGGCACTAATTGCATGTGTAAATTTTTTTTTTTTTTACAGTCCGATACATGGACATAGTGGCTCTTTTAATATATATCACGTTTATTCCTCAAAAACCTAAAAGCTAGTTTTTCTCTTGTGCTACCTACCTTCCAAGCCACCCTTTCCCTTGACAGTGGGATTTTCTTGATAATGACCTTGACAGTGAAGCAGATCCAACACAATTAAATGAAAGTGATTATGAATAACTGCAGGAAGGATGGGATGGGACATAGGAGACAGGCAAGTGAAATGCATGTAGACCTTTGCATCTGCTACAGTAGAATAGCTGCTGAAGCATAATACAGGGTAGTGAATACATCTCCTCTATGACAGCAGCAAGGTCAATGCTAGCCGGAGTTGTCTGCTGCATAAATGCCACTTTCCAAAGTCAGACTTCCCAGAGGCAAATGTTGTATATATTATTTGTGATTCAGAAAACAGAATTTTGCTTATAAGGCAGAGCTCTCTAAACTTGCTGATGTGCAGTTCAATAATCCCTACTTCTTAGTCTTCTGTTTGCCTCTCTCTCTCTCTCTCTCCAGTCATACCTTCCTTTCCATACTGAAACATTTGTGTTCTTGAATATCTGAGTGTTGTAGACTACCCATGGAAGAACTCCTGCCTGATTTTGGCAAATGTGTTATGTCAATTTTAAGTGACAAGAGTCTCCCTGAGTGACTCTTTGGCCCCTTGATAATGCCCAAATACTTTTAATGCAGTCTTCACACCTAAGAGAATTTTTGTATTAATGTCTTAGATAAGCAGCTGAAAATGACGGTCATAGTAAAAGACAAAAAGGAATCCTTTATAAAGACAAATTGTTCCTGCAGTCCTCATTTTCCCAGATAAATAATATGTATCTATAGCAGAGTATTGTACTTGCTGAACGAGGCAATAGTTACAGATGTTTCACCAGAAAGGAGTATAGTTTTCTTATGTCCCTCCATTAATGAGTGAAATCAAAATGCTCAGCCTCAATGTGTCAAGACAGACAATCAAATTGCTACTTCTATTGCTAACAGGTAGAAAAAAAAATGTTGTGGGCCCATACGATGCTAATTTATATCAACGTAACCACAGTAAAGTCAGTGGAACTCTACAAGTTCATGCAAGCCAAAAAAATATCTTGTGCTTAACTCTCATTGACTCTTCACCTTTTGTAATCCATGCTTGCTTCTTGTATTTGGTGCAGAAAAGAATATGACACTTTGTTAATCACTTCTGTTCTTTTTCTAGTACGTTTCACCTTATGATCTTGATACTGAAGCTCAATGCATCTATGTTTGCAGTTACAATCCCACCAAAGAGATCCATTTGTGCTCCATTGTGCTTTTTCCATTGTCATTAATGTTACAGTAGATTTGGCCACTGGTTTTAACGATTTTCAATGGGTTTTTGACAAAAATCAAAATTTAGCCATGAATCATGTTTTCAAATTTTGCTTTCAAATATAATCTTCCAGGACATTGACTAGAAAATAACTGCTCAGTGGCGTGCAAAGAGTATGTTACAAGCTGTGTATTGTCAGAGCAGGCTTACACACCGCTGTGCAGTGCCGCCCTTTGCAGGGTGAAAGTACAGCTTCTCACTCTGCCCTGCATTGCCTCAATGGGGACTAAGAGCCTTAAATAACCTCTTTTAATCCTTTGCAGAGCACTGTCCCAGAGGGTTTCAGCTTTTGCTTGTGGTAACCCCCCTGTCTGACTCTCTTGGTGCAATGGAGGGCAGGATTAGAATTCAAAGCTACAGTTCTGAAAAAACTGGAGAAATGATCTGTGAAAAGCAGGATGAGGTTAAATAAGAACATACGCAGGGTTCTTACACAGTTTCTAGGGTGATAGTAATTGACTGCATAACTCTGGGAGGAAACCGGCTTGTTTAGGGGGAGTCCTGTTAAAAAGTATATGGGTTCTTCAGAGTTCATAAGCTGAACACAAGTCAATAGAATCATAGAATCATAGAATCGTTTAGGTTGGTTGTTGCAGTAAAAAACTGATAATCATCAAGCTGGAATGGATAAGGAGGAATATAATCAGTAAGACATGTGAAGTCATCTGCTACATTCAGCTCTAAAGAAAATTCAGCTAGAGTATACTATGCACAGTCTTGGGTAATGCTTTTCTGGAAAGATGTGGCTCAAGTGGGGAGACAGCAGAAAAGAGGAAGAGGCGTAAAGAAAAGACTGAATAAGAGTCATCTTGACAAAGTTTAAAAGATTTGAGTTGTTTATTCCAGAGAGAAGAAAACTGAGAGGAGACATGAAAACAGTCTTCAGATACGTAAGAGGCTGTTTCAAATATGAAGAGATTAATGTGTTCCCTTGTCCATGGTAAATAGGCCAAGAAGTAATGCACTTAAACCGTAGAAAGTAGTGAACTTAGACTGTTTACACGAGATGTTAAAAACATCTTTGTAATACTAAGGCTAGTGACGTATTAGACTGGATTGCTTGGAAATCACCCAGTGATATGGGTGTTTTTAAGAGCAAGTGAGAATCGGCTGTCAGGAGTATAGCTGATCCTGCTCAGTCCTTGAGCTGGGGGACCTACTAGGATGGACAGTTTCAATCCAGTCTGTGAGGGTACACGAGGAACCCAAATGTTATTCTAAGAAAGAGAGGTGCAACCCCACCATCCAGCCCCCAAGATCTCATGGTTCTTAAACCAATCTCAGGATTTGCAATGGCACAAGGGTGTTGGCTGATAATATTTTAACAGCTGGCAGTTGAAAGCACTAGCAACCTTAATGGAAACCAGAGTTACATTACAATGGTCAGCACAAAATTAGCTATGAAAATACAGTTTCCATCTAAATAGACAAAACAATTTCAGAGAGATGTGAAAGGGGAGAAAACAGAGGAGAGAGGCACAGTTGGAAAAGTAATTTGCCCAGGATTGGGGTATGTGTCAGCAGCAGAACCAGGGATGAAACTCCATGCATGAGTCCCAGGGCAGCATTCTAGGTCCTATTTTGTGTCACATCGCTTGTTCCAGTTAGGCCACTCACTTGTGGAAGGAGAGTGCAAAAGAGGGCTGGAGACCCTACACAGTTAATGGAAAACAATTCTTCCTTGGCTTAAGTGGTGTTAGCTTGGAGATCCTTTAGTCTAGCCACATTGCTTATAGTGTTCTTACTAAGGCACCTGAGGGTTTATATTTAACATCAAGTCATTTGTATGTAAACATTGCCTGACTGAGCAGCAGGATCTTACTTTCAGCTGCATCCTGTCCCAGCTTGTCCTTGGCCTGCAAACAGAGCCCTGCCTTCCAAAGGAGGGTGCGCTCTTGCTCTCTGCAGCCAGACTTGCCTCCTTAGGTACCAGCAGCACATGGCCCATGTGCCAGTGTCATGAACCTGCAGTTTTCCAGGACAGTAACTCTCTACTGTCAGTTCCAGCCTCCTCCCCTCTTTTGTTTAAAAATTAGGAGGCTTTCCCCACCCCACCAAAATTACATTCTGCATGCTTTTCATTTGAACTCTGGGTTTAGAGCCTTTAGAATAGATATATTTTCATACCTTTTCCTGCACCCATGAAGATGAAGAAGAGTTTCTTTGAGATCCTTGCATATTCATTTTACCCCATGATACCTGAGGCTTTAAGAGCAATGTGCCCACCCTGAAATCTGTAATGGACTTCCAAGAATTAGCAACACTACTAGCAAGTACTGAAGTCCTTAGTGAACAAAGAAGTGATGCAGCACAGTAAAAGAACAAGTAGAAAAAAAAATACCAGGCATAGACAGAGAGGTTATTCTTAATCAACATGCTTATGGGTGTGCATCTAGCAATAATTGTTGGAGACAGAGCTAAGAAATCTGTGTGTTCAGTTGAAATATCATTAGTAAGTGGCTGAGAGTAACACATCAATTTTATTTGTAGATGTTACCAATGAGTGATGATTTTTTTCTCCTGGGGGGACCAGTACCTCTGAACTAGATATAAGCTCTGTCAGAACCATGCAATGCATGCTGGACATATTCTTCAAAACTGTGATTTGTTAATCAAAGTACAGTGGGCAGATCAAGTAGCATTGCTGTCACTGGGAAGTGGATTGGAAATGACAAACTCAGTAGTGCTGGACTGATATTTTTACAGTCTGGATACAGTGGTTATTTTCACAAGGTACAATGAGAAAGAAGGGTACAGAAAAGGGCTCAGTAGAGTACGTTCTCACCATCAGATCAACAACTACTGACCAACAGGGCTTTTAAATTAATGTTTGAAATTTTGGCAATTTTGGCATACAGAAGGTGCTGAATGATGAAGCAGCCCAGGGCAGCTAGAAGTGTGATATGGTCAGTAATTTTCCCCCAGGTAAAGGTAAACTGCTTGAACTGTGTCAACTACAGCTGCATTCACACACCTTGGAAGCCCTCTTTCTGCTGTGGCAGACCTGATTTTGGCAGGAGCATGACCCCAGGCCAGAGCACTACATGTAGGGCAGGAGATTGCCTGACTCCTTTACAGTTGCAGAAAGCCCAAATGCCTCCCAAAATTCTATGGCATATTGCAGGTTGGGGGAGCACCTTTTAGCACATGGCTCACTGCTGACTCCTTGTTCTTTTGGATATAAAAGTATGGATTGTCTGGGGCTGAGCCATGGCAGAGGGCAACTGATTAAAAAGCAAGTATAAAATAATTTTCACAGCAACCCTGAGGAGAAGAGGCCAAATTGCTGAAGGTCACATAAGTCATATATATCCCAAAGCCTTATCTCCTTAAGCTGAAGAAGAGTCTTCCATTTTCAGACGCATGCATGCAAATCATAAGTTTGGCAATAGGAGCAGGCTATGACTCCAAGGCATGTAGGGGTTACTAGGATAACTTTATAAGTTGGCTACACATTGCTATTAAAAAAATTTCTGCTGTTTAATAACATAAGCTAAACACAACGAAGTTAATCACAGCCTAACACGTGAGACCCCAGGCACATGGCCACCATATAAGAGATTTAACACGTCTGCCTCATGAGTATCCTAGCACATGCCCAACACATCAGGTTCCTTACTGTCATAAGGACTGGCTCAATAAGAGGGGCTGGGGCCAACCTCACCTGCAGCCAGCAGCTTTTTGTCAGCTGAGGCCAATCAAGAGATTATAAAAGTCCCGAGCGCCTTATTTAGAAAGAACTGCTAAAAGAAACAAGTGGGCTTGGGTGGCAGGCCTGGGCTAGTGGCCTGTGCTGCAGACCAGGGGATGGTTCTTGTAGCCACCTCAGACTCTTTGGTCCAACTAAATTCCTGTATTTTTGAAAAATAATCTGAGCCCTGACAAACAGGGGCCTGATCCAGATTCTGGGCATGCTATTGATGCACCCTATACTGGGCAAACAGTGCAGTAGCCAATGCTAATCTATGTTTAATATGCAAAATCTTAACCTCATTCATTATGTTCTTCAAACTTGGTCACATTCCTCACATATGTCCCACCTGGACTAAACTTGACCCACATAATTCTTTTTAAATCTTGTGCCAAGCTATCAGTGCCAGCAAATGATTTGTTTTGTTTTTCCAAACTCTTTCAGATCCCTTCCCCAGAAGTATTTGAAGATCTGATTAAATTTTCATTCCACACAAATGTATTTGAAAACAACATCGGCTATCTGAGATTCGATATGTTTGGAGACTGTGAACTTCTAACCCAGGTGTCCGACCTACTGGTAGAGCATGTTTGGAAGAAAATTGTTCACACAGATGCATTAATCATAGACATGAGGTAAACCTTTGAATGGCAAATAACCAAAGCTCTTTCAAAACAGCATTTTATTTGTAACAGTGAATTAGCTTTACATGGCTTACTGTCCTGTTTATAGGCTAACATTGCTGGGATTAAATGAGAAAAGGAAAACAGCCAAGGAAAACAATAACAGTCTGGAAGTATACCTCAAGACAAATTGTACCATCACTTGAGATGTTTAGAACTAAATAGGAAAATTTAGGGGATATGTTGCAGAATGCAATCCTGGATGTCACATCTGTTTTCTTTCTCTGATTTCTTTCTAATCTAATTCTGCATGTGCCTTGTATTAATTATATATATACATGGCCTAATTAAATCTTTTACTGCAGGCAGTGGTCAAGTGATTGCACAGTCAAAAATACAGACCATGCATAAGGCTGTGTTACAACATCTGGTTTGCCATATCTGCAGTGCTAAATTATCTTGGGCAATCAGCCCTGGACAAAATGACCCTTGTACACAGAGCACAAAGGTGGCTTAAAGGTCCTGTTGCCTCAAAGGCACTGTAGCACTGCTAGACCCTGCTGCAGCAAGCTACAGCATCATGTGCCTGCTCTCAACTTAGGATTCTGTTGGACACTCCAGTGTGTCAACAATTCTCCAAATCTTATGAGCCAGAAGATGGCATCCATTTGTTTCCAGCTATTAAAGCAGATGAATATCACAAATATACATTTCCCATACAATATTTAGATAAGTCATTCCCTTGTTTTGGTCCAGAGCTAATGTTTGTGAGCCCAGAACATTACAAATATCAACTAAAGAAAAGAAGACTTTTGTAAGAACTTGTTTTTAATGCTAGAACCACTTATGTCCATTGCCATCATGGGACTCTCAATATTTGGTAATCTTCTTAATATTCTTCTGAGATTTGCAGCATGGGCAGGAAAAGATGAGTGCAGCTATGACAGCAGAGAGAGAGAGAACTCACTATGTGAGCACAGAGGAGGCAGGGCAGCAACCAATAAAACCCACCTATGACTGAATTCAAATTCAGCAAAGGCACAACCATCTTCCAATAGACTTGAGATGGGACTGGGACTTTCCTCTTTCTTGCCCCAGTTTTCTCCCAAGCTAAAACTCATACCAGGGCCAGGGGCAATAAAACAGCAAAGGTGAAATCATGCCCCAGGTACCAAATGGTTGGTCTCATTATAGTTCTTTCCTTGGGTTGCTTTGATTTTTTTTTTTTATATTTAATGTATTTCCAGCCCTTTGAGTGTACACAAAAGACCCAGTCTCTGAAGGTATATAAAAGAAAACCCCAAACATTTTACCTTTTGCAATTCTCCCTAAACCAATCTTATGATTTTAAGGCAAGGCTGATAATTGCAATTTTGCATGGGATTAACCATAATGAATAATGTTTCTTATCTTATGTGTTTCCCTCCCTGGGACAGCTGCACTAACAATGAACTTCATATTTTGACAATTTCAATTTTGCATGGGATTAACCATAATGCATAATGTCTCTCACCTTAATAGTTCCCCTTCATGGAACAGCTGTGCCACTCATGAAATTCATATTTTTAACCTTCACAGCATCGAGAAGAGACAGTGATAAACTAAACAGCTTCCCTAATGTCACACAAGAAGTCTGTAATGAAGGAAGTACTTGCCTGCGAGAGTTAAGCTAAAACTCTAAAACAACTCCTCAGTCATTATTACTGACTGAAGTTTCTGCAGTTTCACTCTAAAAGAGTCCCAGAAGAGCTCTCCAGCATTGCTCTAGCTGCCTGCTTGCCACTCACTTCAGCAGTGATGGCAGCTACAGGAAACTGGGCTCTGCTGGGTCTAGCTGCCTGCTGGGCTGTGCAGCAGCAGCAGGACCTCCTGACGGCACAGCACTATCTGGGACACACTAAAGAGCCTTATTTCAGTTCTAGCCAGTCACAGTAGGAATCCAGCATACAGCTCCCAAATGCTGCAGAATAAAGAGGTAGCTTCACTCTTTGGGACAGAGGCTTCCTGGATTGTCTAATCCTTTTCTGGAGGTGAAATAAACTTAGTTATGGGCTGGACTGAGCAAAACTCATTTTCTAGCAGGTTTTTGCTGGAGCGCCTGTGCCAGGCACTCCTAACAGCAACTACAGGAAAGCACTGTATCTATCTCCTACTAGTGAGCAAGGTACAAATATTTCCAGTGCTCTATGTGCTCTAGTATTAGTGAAAAGTGACAGACAAAAAATAATTCGGTGTTCCATTGTGTGTATTCATAGCAGGGGTTCTCCAATGACACTAAGGCTCTTCAGTGAATTTAATCTGCAGAGAGTGATATGAAATTAAACTACAAGCAAAGTTCTCAAACATGACTGTTCTAAATGAAGCAGCTAACACAATCTTTAAGCACAAAAAGAAATGCCCTGATCTTATAAGGTGCCAAACACCAAGTATTCTCATTGTGAACAGCAGGAAATAAGAACACATCAGTTCTACAAACATATGTTGCTTACATTGGGATCAACATTTATATATTAGGGTTTAGGTACTTACTCATGCTGCTTATGTCAGTAACAACATGGGTTATTCAGAGTAGAAGAATAACAAGAATCTGATGTTTCTCTGCAGATTAAGAGTCTTTTCTTACTTTGTGAATTTTTTCCAGGTTGAATCAAGGAAAAAATAGACAATTCATTTTTATGATTGCTTTTGAAGTTGTGGGCAATAACAGTCCAACACTCTTAGACAGGATTTTGTTTCGCTGATAAATGTGCAAATGCTGATAGGGGAGAATGAATGTAAATATATCAAAATGTAGCCATAAGCCCTTTCAGTACTGATGTTAAGGAACAATACTTGGAAGGGAAATTTACTGTCTGCCACAAATTTTCAATTGTTTCCTTAATATTTTTAATTTTTGAAAAGGTACAATATCGGAGGCTCCACCACTTCCTTAGCAATCCTATGCTCATACTTCTTTGATGAAGGACACCAAATTCTCTTGGACAAAGTTTATGACAGACCCAGTGACTCAGTAAAGGAAATATGGACCCAGCCACAGCTCAAAGGTAAAATGACAATTTCTTTTTAGAGTAGCTTTTCATTTCAGGTGCCCCTCCTTGTGTATTTTAAAGTGAGCCATTAGACACCATAACTTATTTGGTGAAAGCACCTGCCATGATTAGCTCAAGCTGTGCAGAGAATGTAAAAACTAAACTGTGCATTTCAGGCATGTCCCTCAGTGCCGTCTATAAATAACTGTTTATCGCTCCTAGGAATGGGGTATGTTAGGCACAGATGTTTGTAAACTGGTTCCCAGAAGTTTAGCTGAATACTGTGTATAGCAGTTGTAACTTGTTGCTTTTCAAAGTTGCCAAAATTAAAAATAAATCCAGTGCTGCCTAGACTCTTCCAATACTCACACATAGTTTTATATGTAGCTCCTCACTTCCTACCTGTGTAATCCACTATTTCAGTAGATGAAAACACACACAATAGCCCAGTTTGTCCAGAGAATGCAAGAGAAAAAGAAAAGCACTACATTTTGCACATCTAAGTGAGTTTGGAGCATTTGGCGATGTATCACACACACAACCCCCACACGTACACACACCCCACCCTGCTGTTCATAGAGGTTGAAGGGATGCTGCAATATGCAGAAACAGAGCTCTTCAGTGCTCATAAAGTGCAGTTAGAGCACTAAGAAGCCTTAAACATCAGTTTTAATTATTTTCCTCTTTAAAGTTAAGACAGTACCAAAAAAGGTGTCACAATGGTGTCTGCAATTATTGGCTTGGAGCATGCTGAAATGGTTAAACTTTGTCGCAGGCTTCAGGGTTCATCTATTTTCCCAGGCAGTCAAAGGTGGACTGTGCTAAGGGATATGATTACTATGGACACATTCCAGTTCCCATCAAAGAGAACAGGCAGACTCATATTAACTTCAAAGGAGCTGGATCTGGTCCTGTATTATATACATCTACTGTGAAAAGCGTCTTCTAATGGATATTATGTCTATAGTGAAATGAGAAGAGCAAAGATGGTGTGAAAATTAATTACCATGCTATTGGCCTCTCTCTTACAGTTTAGTATGAGAATGATATGTCATACCGTAACTTACTTAAAGAATGACAGTTTTAGAGCAGTTTAGAGTAGTTTTCAAGTTGTCAGGTCCCAGTTATGACATACTGGCAACTTTTTCAAAAGAACTGAGGTCTCAAAAAGCATCTAGCGCGCTCAGATATATTGAAAATAAGGTGCAAAATACCTCCTACTCCTGTCAGCTGGTTTATGTAGGAAAATGAGATAACTTGGCTCAGATCCTAATAATAAAGGGGTATTTGTTGAAGGGCTTGGGACAAAAGCCATGCAACAGCTTCCATTTATAGACTATAAAAAGCCTGTGGGAAACCACTATAATTATAATTTAATAAAATGCTGCCTGCATAGTTTGCAGGCCAAGCTCTATGATAGCCATGTTCCTAGAGCAGGGATGAGAGTGAAACTGAAGGTGCTGCTGGCTGAGCTTTGAGTATTCCTACTGGAGCAGTGGAAAATGTCGCCTTCCTCACCTGCCTATCCCACTCCTGTGATGGGATCTAGAGCTCCTGTAAAAGTCAAAGCCACAGAAGAGCCAGCAGTAGTAACCATGAGCTGGCCTCCCAGCTGCTGGAGCTCATAACCAGAAACTGATGGCACAAGAGCACCACATAGGGTGAGTCTTTTTCACAGTATAGAGGCTGGGCTAGTGTAAAAAGTGCTTAATACCATCATAGGTACAAAGTAAATTTCCAGATTTCTTTGGTTGTTAATAGCAGGTAGGAAATGAAGTGTGTTTGTATCTTGGCTTCTCTTGCTCCATTATGCAAATAAATCTCTGAAAATGGATGCATTTTCTGATGCTTTTTGTCCTTCCTGGCAGGGGAGAGGTATGGCTCTCAGAAGGGGCTAATAATCCTCACCAGTGCTGTGACAGCTGGGGCTGCCGAAGAGTTTGTGTACATAATGAAGAGACTGGGCAGAGCTCTCATCATTGGGGAACAGACCAGTGGTGGCTGCCATTCTGCACAGACACATCAAGTAGATGATACCAACTTCTACATCATCATCCCCACCTCCAGATCAGTCACCTCTGCAGAGGGCACTTCTTGGGAAGGGAAAGGGGTGCCTCCTCACATGGAAACATCAGCTGACACAGCACTCATCAAAGCAAAGGAGATGCTCAGTGTTCACCTGCACAGCTCTAGATAGCCCACTGGGGGAACATGGCCCTGGAAAAAAAGGTAGGCTGTAATTTTCTAAGGAGCCCAAGGGACTTACTTACACTCTCAGGAGCTGAACCAATAATGGGTTTGGGAACCCAGAGCAGGATTTAGACATAATTTAGGTAACTAAGGCAAAATTGAGAACCCAAAAATCTGACAGTGTGTGTATGTGTATGCATGTATGTGCATATGTGCATGTGAGGGGATGGGCAGGCTACTGGTGCTCCTCCTTTTGTTAACTGTCTGGCTCAGGAAACCATGGGTTGTTTACTGCACAGGAGCCCATTTCCAACAGGAGAAGTTGCAAGGCCCTTCTGCTACCCAGAATAATTCACAAGCATCAGCAATAGTGCTGTTCTGGGCGGCAGAAGTAGATTTGAGTTCCTATCAGCTGAAGAAGGCTTCACAGTGGAGTCTCATTTTTTTGTATGAGTTTTCTAGTAACCAAGTTCTTAGGG